GTAGAGGGGATGCGAATAGATCGGTAAACCAAGATCTGCTGATGTGGATTTTTTATTTTATTTTATTTTATTCAAAGGACTCAAAATTTCGGAGGCCAAAGAAATAAAGGGGTAAGACTTCTTTGAATTGTACTTTGACTTTATGTTGTGTTTAACAGCAAGGTAAAGACGACTAAATTGAATAAAAGGAGTATATCTTTGTTCAAAATAAATAAACAAATAGATAAATAAAATACAAGTTGATGACGTCTGGTATATGTGCTTAAAGTTAACCTTTAGCTGACTGTTAAAACCAAGATATAGAAAGAGTAAGTGTGTGTGTGTGTGTGTGTGAGAGAGAGAGAGAGAGAGCGAAATAAATATAAGAATAAAATAAAATAAAATAAAATAAAATATAAAACAACAGCAGGCGTCAATACATCTTTACACCTTTCATTTTCACTTGTTAAATATTATATACATTATACAGTATACAAATATACAAATATACAAAAAAATAAATAAATAAATATATTATATTAAAGTATAAAATATAGTATAAAAAATAAATAAATATAAAATAAAATAAAATAGTAAGTTTTTTTTTTGAATTTTTTTCTTTTACTCTTAACCATGACGAACCCGAACGAAAGTGTTCCCGAAGGAAGAAAGAAGAAGCAAGGTTTACGGTCAAACAACGGCAGTGGAATTATGACACCCACATCCCCACAATACCCTCCTTATGGCTACATGGAGACTCAGATGTACGAGAATCCTGCTGGATTCGATCCTAATGATCCGGCTGCTGCGTATGCTTATGTCTATCCTCTTAGTCCTCAGTTTTCGGTACAGTATTATTCAGACTTCTCTAATGGCTACCAGAGCTACCCCGGCTCGCCTGCTCTCCATCCCCAGTCGCCATCTGCCCATCCTCAGTCGCCACCTTTCAGTCCCACATATGCCTACCAACCCACCCTCACCCTCTCACCACCCACACATGCCTATGCGGTCCCTCATCAGCACTTCCCTCCTCTACACATTTCCTCCCCGCTCCTCACCGGAGTTGGCTCGCCCGGATCCCCACAATACATCTCCCTCCCAGGCCCCTTTGGCGTCGACCGCTCAATCAAGTCTATGGCTGAGCAGCTAGAATCAAACCAATTCCATCCCCAGAATGTTTATGTAAGAGGTCTTGCTCCAACTACTACTGACGAATCATTCCTTGAACTATGTGCCGCGTAAGTAATCATTTGTCCCATCTTTATATTTTATTTTATTTTTAAAAAAAATTACATGTATTGTACTGTGTATTATATTATACGCTATATAAATTTATTAAAATATTTTGTTCATTTAGTTATGGTGAGATTACTTCATCAAAGGCTATTCTTGACCAAAAGACAGGAGAGTGCAAAGGTTATGGATTCACAATGTATGCCAATGATGATGATTGTACAAAGGCCATCGAAGGTCTCAACAAGGCTGGTCTCCAGGCATCTTTTGCAAGAGTAGGCCAGGTAAAATAATAATAATTGAAAATTGAAAACTAACAAAAAAGGAATTATCCTGGCCTGGTTGCGCCTATTCTAAAATCAATTGACACCTTTCTTTGAATCTATATTTAATTTTGACTCTATAATTAATATGGGTGTATCAGGAATCATTTAGTTCGAAACTACGCAGTCTCCAGGATGAGACATCGACAAATATCTATATATCCAATCTTCCATTGGACACAACTGAACAGGTATGTCAAAAATAAACATTCAATCCAGCAAAGAAAGTAAATAATAATCGACTGTTTGTGTGTGTAGAAACTTGAGGAGCTGTTTCAACCTCTTCAGACCATATCAAATCGCATTTTGCGCGATCCTCAATCTGGTATGAGTAGAGGTGTTGGATTTGCTAGGTAAGCAAACGTTCGATACATACATACATATATATACATAAGTAAGTAAATAACAACAACAACAACAACAACAAAAACAATTTTTATAGAATGGCAGATCGTCATGCTGCTTCGGCTATCATTGAACGATTCAATGGACAAAATGTTGTGGGTTCATCTGCACCTCTTCAGGTCAGGTTCGCAGACTCTGCTGCTCAAAAGAAGCTTAAAAGTCAGACATCTCGTAAGCGAATGCTCAGACCGCGCGATTTCCACACAATGGCTGGGTTTCCTGTGCGCCCAATGATGCCCATCACTCCAGAGACGATGCTAGGCATTGCACCTTCTGTGCCCAACCAACAATTCTATCAAGACTCTTCTCTCCAATACGCCCAGTACGCACGTCCTCATGTTACTTCTCAGCCCACACAGCCCACAACATCCGAGCAAACCCTTGTTGACACAGTAGAAAAACAATTGTCAATCAAAGAAAACCTTTTGACCAACCCAACCGATTAAAACAACACCAACAACCACGACAAACAAACAAACAAATATCCGTCTTCTTTCCCTCCTCCAAAAAAAAAAGAAAGAAAGAAAAAGAATGAAGAGGTATTCTCTCTTTGTTTCAATCTCTCTTTACATATATCTCAGTTTATCTGTCTTTCTGCCTTTCTATTTACCCTTTGTTATTGTTACCGTTACTATTACTGTTGTTACCACTCATTTATTGTGTCCGTCCTATTGCTAGATTTGCTTCCTTGTTTATTTTTCTTTATTAAAAAAAAGGCCTCTTTCTTTTTCATTTCTTTTTCATTTTCATTTTCATTTCCCCTGTAGTCATAATGAGAAATGATAATAATAATTATAATAATAATAATAAAAAGTAAAAAATGTGTAGCGTGAGTGAATAATTTGAAAGGATTTGTGAATCATTTCGTTTAAAGTCAATATAAAGAAAGATCCACACTATCTATCGACGTATTATATATAAAAGCGCACCTGTGATTTGATTGACATGTCTTTGTATCTATGATCTTGGTAATTGTCAAACAAATCAAAGCTTTTTCTTTTTTTAGATTATCGTAATTATTATTTTTAGTGTGGTGGGATTAATTTTTTTTAGAGAAAAAAAGTTCGAAAAATTTGGATATATACGATATTTATAAATCGCACAAAAAAAAAGGGGGGGGGGAGGGAAGAAGAGAAAGAGGGGGTAGTTACGGTTTGCGTATTTTCTTTTCATATAATATTCTTCATTCTTTATATATTCTTTTAACAAATGACAGATACACTCAGAGTCTGACATACGGAATAAAAGTCACGGCGCGGCTAATCAACTGGCTTTGTGACTTTATAAATTTTATATAGTGTATAGTAAATTTAGTGTAAATGTAGTATAAATGTGTGGCTTGAATTTAGGCCTTTCAAAAAAAAAAAAAATTAAAATTTTTGAAAGAAAAAAATAAAAAAATAAAAAGTATAAATAAGGCCTTAATTTCGTAAGAGGTTTTACCTGTATCTTTATCCTCATCGTTTCATATATATTTTCAACCTGTAAGTAAAAAAAAAATAGAAAATTCAAATTATATATTTTTGTTTGCAAAGTGTATATGTATATTGTCTGGCTATGAAGAGAACTATCATTTGATGCCCTGAATTCTTATGTGGATTAAAACGATATGGAATTCCTCGTATCTGAGTCTTCAATATACATATATACATATTGTAATTAAATTTACACATTCATTATCTTACACGATAAACTAATAAATTTCTATTTGATTTATTACTGTGTATAGTCTGCATTATTATTCAATAATACTACGGAGGGTTGAAGAATATGAAACTACTTTACAATGAGTTTATATTTAAATTCTATTGGTCTACTTGTCCGAACACTGTAAATTTTTTTAATGGGTAAGTTAAAGCAACAATCAGTAAGAGGTAGACAATGAAAAAGACAATATAAGAGAATGAAAGAGATGATTGCGATGAGATGAGAAATAAGTATCAACGTCAGTTCTGCTTCTGAATGACTGTGACGACACGTACTTTCGCGTATCTGAGGAAAGCGCAAGATCTCTTTCTTTCTCTGTTATTTTTTTTTCTGTCGTTCAAACTTTCAAATCTTTATTTTATAATGTATTTGGAGCTTTGATGCCTAAGCATGCAAGACAAGAAGAAACATGAAATTGATCCTAATTTATTTATATTTTTATTTTTATTAGTAAGCACCCGTATTATTTAGTTCATTTTTTCTGCAAATTATTATAATAAAATTCAAATTTAAAAACACAATAATGTCTTCAAAAATTGCTTGCTTGTGAGAATCCATGCTTTTATGAGATTTTTAAAAGAATGCTTTGATTTGATTGATAAAAGTTGTCCTTTAAAATCCAATGAGAAGTAGTAATAGTAGCAATAGATAGATGGTACAAATCAGTTGAAATAAATAAGCAGTCTTTAAATGAGATATATCTCATTGCAATCGATTCTTTTTTTTTTTCAATGCCGTTTTGAGAAAAAGGCTGAATCAAAAATGAGCTCTTTGGTGTAAATAGCCAAAAATTATAAGCAAACAGGGTTTTTTAAGAGCGAAAAAAAAATGGGTTCTTTATGATCAATGTTTAAGCAAGTTTTGAATGGTGGATCTTAATGTGCTTCAAATTATATGGTACTTATCTGTTTAAATTAAAGTATATGTCCGGTGTTGTTTTTGTTGTTCTTAAGGGAAGGTAGGTAAGCTAGGATGCAGGAGTTAGATATTGTTGGTTTCTCTTTTGCTTATTTTGTTAGTCTCTACCGGCTTAACCGTTGCTGCTGTTGTTGGTGCTCCTATTACTTTTTCCCTCTTCTTTCAATTGTAGGATTGTTCATATGATACTTCTTGATGTAATCAATATTTCTTTTGTGTCTAATGAAGAATTAGTTGATCTTAGTTTCCCTATAACGCACGGCATTATATCTCCAGCGTCTCTATACAAAGAGATTACCAGAGATATCCACATGTAATTCTCACTTTTTTTTTATAGGACCAATATACCGTCTGCAAATGTAAATCTATCCAGGCACGTCTTTTCTTTCTCTCTTTCTTTATCAGTGTAATTAAATTTTGCATAGACAGATCTATATCTATATCTACTATGTAATATAAGGCTTGTATTATTACCGTGTATCATTTGTATCATTCCAATGTACACAGGTTTCTAAAAAGGCACCTCCCCCTTACTTTCTCCCTTTTCCTCTGCAGCTTATCATATATATATATATACACATATTTTCATTTATTCTAAAATTACCAATTGATTTTGAATAGCATATATACACATATTTTCTTTTCTTTTTCTTTTATTATATTATATATTAAAATCTATTATATTTTTTATTATTGCAAGAGGCTACTCTTTTTGTAGCAAACTTGACTTTTCATTGAGAGAGATATACATATATGAATATTGGGTTTATGAGTGAAAAAGAAAGAAAGAAAAAAAAGGAAGAGGGGGAGTCAATAATATATAACATTTAATATTTTGTAAAAGAGGTATCATCTCTTTTATTTTATTTTTTTAAGAAAAAAATATATATAGGAATTTATATACATACAAACAAAATGAGATAAGAGAACATATGGTTCTTCTTCTTTTCTTCTTCAATAAGCAAGAAAAAGAAAAAGAAGGGTAATAATTATTTTTTGATTTTTGTTGTTGTTCAAAAAAGAGGATCCAAAAGAAACTCGGCCTGAAGAGTCTCATTCATATCCAGGTCTTGGTTGACGGCACTCGAAGGAAGCGAAGGTGAAGTAAGAGGATTGTTGTGATTAATGTTAGCATCACAGAATTTTGTGTCCGAGTCATCGTGGTGGGTGAGATTGAGCATAAAGAAGGCGTCGTTAACCGGAGGAAGCATAAATGAGTTATAGAGATCACTGTCACAGAACCCAAACACACTCGACGAAGCAGGTGGGCTTGGAGTACAGGCGACACTGTTGTTGGCAGACGACGAAGAGGACGAGTTAAACGTGTGACAGCTCGAATCATCACTCGAAGAAAACTGATCGCTTGCACATAGTATTGGCTCTGGTCCTTGTGGTTGCTGCAACTGTTGGAGTTGTAATTCTAGTTTAAGTTGTTGATTTTGTTGAATATGATGATTATGATGAATATGATGATGATTATGCTGATGCTTTTCGGTTTGGTTTTGGTTTTGATGATGCTGATGCTGATGCTGATTTTGGTTATGCTGATTTTGATTTTGATTTTGATTATGATTATGATTTTGCGTTTGATTTTGATTTTGAGTTTGAGTTTGAGTTTGATGGAATTGGTGGATCGAGTCACATTCGTTTGAAATTGGTGAAAAACAACCAAAAATATCCTCTTCTTCCTTGATTCCCATCATCATATTGTCACTCGAACTCTCCTCTGTCACCGACGACGCCTCATCTGCAACCGAGAAACAGTCTCCAAAGTCGAGCGAGGCCGTAGTCCCACTGATACAAGACATTGCAGGTGATGCTGATGGCTGTGCTGGCGCTGAATTGTTGTCTTGTTTGGCAAAATGTGCATTCTGCGCAGAGAGGGCTGAAGCTGTCAGGGGGATTGGTGTCGATATTGAAGATAATGAAGATAATGATGATAAGGATGATAATGAAGATAAGGGTAAGGATAATGATGGAGATGGAGATGGAGATGATGAAGATGACGATGACAATGACGATGACGGTGATGATAGTGCTGATGCTGTCTGTAGATTGAAAATCTGAGCCAAGGTTGGTTGTAAGAGAATGGGTGGTGCGATTGGGGCAGTTCTTGTCGAGTTTCTACGTGGCTGTAATAAAGGCATGAACTTGGAACGGTACACATCAAGAGCACGTTGCAGCAAGTTTTTCTTTCCAGCCAACACACGCGAATTCAACCATGCCTAATTATACACAAAGATAAATAAGTCAAACTTTTAAAGGAAGATATAGTAAATAAACCTACCAATTTCCAGCCAAGTTCATTGCACATCGATTCCTCTAACCATCTAGTACGTCCTCCCATGTATTGATCTGGGCTGGTAGTTGTTGCTCTAGGGAACGGACAGTTTGCCTTTCTAAAAGACTGGCTGATCTCATTCAAGTTCACACTATCGATGTTGATTTTGATCCGGAATCGTGTATTTGACGCAAAATCATCAATGGCAATTGTCTTTGGTTGATGGGCAGGCTTGATTATTACGGATTCGAGAGTGAGAGGTGGGAGACATGAGGATGGTGGAGGTGATGGTGATGGGGATGCCAAAGCAGAATAATTGATGATATTGGTGTTGGTGTTGGTGTTGATATTGAGGGCGCTAATGTTGATAGTGTTTATTGTGTTGGTGTTGGGATTGCTGCTGTTTGCCAGGACGGCTGCCTGGGAAGATAACAAGGCCGAAAGATCTGACAGGGTTTCTTCTTCGTGTTCGTCCCTGTGCTTTCTCTTTCTCAAGGTGCCATTCATCAGTTTCTCCTGTCGGGCTACTCGGCGGGATCGCATGCTTGGGTATCTGTTTCGATAGGAATCTACAGCGCGCTGGATAAGACCTCTTTTGCCCGAAATGTCTGCTGAATTCAACCAGGCCAACTTCCATCCCAAAACGTTGCATTCGGTCTCATAAGCCCATCTGTTGCCCTTGTAAGATTCTTTTGGAAGGTTTGCTCTTGGATAAACCTAAATACATTTTAAAATAAAATAAAATAAAATAAAAAGTAATTAATAAATGATCCGTTTGTGTGCTTGAGTCTTTCTCATTGGCTTTGAATCAATATAATATAGATATATAATATTCATATTCATATAAAATATTTATAGTATAGTATAGTATAGTATAAAATAAAAATAAAAACATATAAAAAAAAATTTGCGGGGTACTCTCGGTTTATA